TACCAACCTGTCGGTGCACTTGGTGGACTTCATCGAAATCGATGGTCGAACAAGCACGCACATTACGAAAGTGGTAGATGCTGCATATCTTTAAGGGAAAATCCGGGTTGACTGAAATGTCGCGATATAATTGCATACACGTCCACTTGGTGACTCGACAAGACGGGCTCCTCGCTATTGGCATTGGTTATGGAGTTAGTACGGATAGATGGGCACGCTCACGGATTGACCTCACAACCGGTAGTCACAACATCAGAGCTTTAGTTGTTACGTTACCAAAGTAAAGAAATACTACTACAGCATGCGATACCGTATATTGTGGCCAAACAGGAAGATCCGTCTCCGCACGCACCCACGAGCACCAATTGGCAGTGAAGCGACGTGACCATTTTTCTGAAGTGGCTATGCATTGCCTTAATACAGTACACACCTTCGCATCGGACAAAACACGCATTTTTGGAGTTCGCCCCTCCGAAAAGGCCAAGAATTTCTGGAAGTCATGCGCTCCGATGATTCAGGCATCAACCGAGGTATCGAGTTGGATGGAGTGTACAACCATCTCAAAGAAAGATGGAAGAGACAACGGCCGATCACCACAGACTAACATGAACCACAACTACTAATTAGCGCCCTCACCGAATGAGTCGGACTGACCCCTGACTGACACAAGTTACAGTTGCCAATTAGCTATTACGCTATTGCGACTACGAATTTTGTCCACCATGGAATGACGCAAAGTGCAGCTGCCAACTAGCGCTCACACCAAATAACTATATAACTGTACCAGCATTTTTGAACTTTCAATTGTTCGTTGCACATCTTCTCAGGTCTGACGATGACCTGGGGATTCAGCGTCGAACATTTCCTGAATAAAGTAGCCAAAGGACATCTTTCCTTGAAATTACATTTTTGGGATACCTGCTTTCCAACTTATACTATCTGTGTGTTTTCTTATGCCCCAAGTTTATTCATCCCGACCAAACAACCCTGATTAACATTGTAAAGAAGACCAAGACGCGATCACTGGAACGATCGTTCCAGAGATCGCGTCTTCGTCTTCTTTACAACAAGTACCTGGGGCACGCATATTCGCTTCTATTCCTGATTAACATTTTCCCGCGTTACAGGTTTTCTGTAGGGCACTTCAATTTTAACCAAATTTGAATCTGCTGGTCACTATCAAATACTCTTAACCCAAAACATAACACTTATTGAAAAATGTCATTAACTTACGCACCTTATGAAATATCTCCTAATTCCTATTAATGCTATTCGTGTATAAAATAGGGTAAATATGCATGCTTGAGTCACACATAGTTATTGTTTTGTAAAATTAAGCCGTGAGTACGATTATTTTAAATGTGACTCGTTAGGTCTATTGAACATACAATAGGTACAGTGTTTATGTTTCGATTCGCGAAAGGATGGTGATCAGGGGCAACTTTGGCGGCACAGTGGCACCTTTTTTGGGCAAAATCTCCTTTAAGCCTGCTGCTACTTGTGTTATTATAAGGTTTTTATGAGAGGGCAATTGTTTTTACAGTATTTATCTCAAAAATCCGAGTAATGACGGTCCAAAGATGAAAATAAAATGGGGAAATGTGATCTAGCCAACTTATTATTCAGCAAGAACAGTGCGCAATTTATTCGCAAAAAAAAACTCCATAAGACCCACTTGAATACAGATGACAAGGGAGGTAAGTCTCCTTCAAGTTCGAAAGGAAAGGCTTTCAGTTGTGCAGGACTTTCTTGACAAACGAAAGCAGAAAACAAAAGGTACGAATAAACTTCGAAAAGTACATCTTTCATCCCGCTAAACAACAACATTGGAAGAGGGGGAGGGCAGTTCAAATGATTTAAAGGGGAATTGTTTTACTTAAAAGCGTTGAGCTTTCGCAGTGAGAGACGAATTGATCCTAGCTCAGCATCAGTACGATCCAACTGTGCTTCCAAATCCTCCTAAATCGAGAAAAGGTAATCGTAAAATCTCTCATTACAGGAGATGGGAAAAAAGGCATGCAGAACCCTTCAACCTCAGACATTTTCCCTCCCCGACATCAACCCTTCCCATGCTGAAAATAGACAGAAAACTGGCCACCACCCGTGTCGAAAATTAACCATGCATTGCATACCTTCCATTTCAACGTCGAAATGCGATTTTTGTCGAATTTAGTGAGAGGCACCTTACTCAGGCAAGTTTCTAGATATCGCTTCTGCAGCTGCAGTTCGCTATAGCGCTTCTCTAGGGTAGCTGAGGTTGGATCGGTTTCACCACAGTGTGCAACTAGGCTCGCCATGTCAATCGCCTTAACCCGCTCCACAGCTGGAGATGTTGGCGAGAAGTGACATCTAAGGGTGTTTTTAGCGCCTTTGTAGGGGTGAAAAAGCATGCACTTGTTTAGGCAGCACTGCAAATAGCAGTTAATACTGGGCATCAAAATCAATGCTCACCTTCGTGTGCAGGTCTGAGCTGTGCTCATATATGTATATATGCAGAAGGCCATTATCAACAAAGACTTGTGACACTAGGAAGGCCTTTTTCTGGCTTATTTGCCGTCATCTACTAATGATACTCAACTCCAGTGTTGCCGCTAAAGTTGATGCCACACCCGAGTCTTGAACTAGGGTCTCTCCGGTCAGAGGCGAACACCTAACCATTGAGCCACGAGCTCACAGTCCTGCCAGTATTAGATCGGGGATAAACAGTAGCAGATATGTGTACACCGATCCGTTGGAGGACCTACTCGTCCGTCCATTAGAGCTCTCACTCGAGCTGCGCAGGACAGTGAATGGCTCTTGCTGATAATCGATTGCCTCAGCATCCCACACTTCAGGCTACTACCGAGAGCCAGATAAACAGCCAGAGCTTAAGTTTTATTTATAAGTCCAGATGGAAGATGTATATCTCTGATCAAAGACCGGCAAGACAGCAAGCTCGTAGCTCAATGATAAGGGCGTTTGACTCTGAGCAGAGAGTTTGAGGCTCGGGTGTGACACCACTTGGGTCTGGGTATGACTAGCTGACGACGGCTAATTTGTCAGAAATGGCCATCCTAGTCTCCCTTGTCTTTGTCGGTAATGTCCTTCTGCATATGTGTATATATTTGAAAGGCACCACGGGTAATGAACCTTTTATGACCCGGCCTGGTACTCAGAAATCACCCGAAACGTATGCTTGCTCGACTGTTGTCTTAAGCACCAAAACAGCAGAGAAAAAAACTATCGGCCGCGAGAAAATATATGAAAAAATCTGCAAGTCCTTCTCACTGCAAACCAAATTTTTACATAATTACGTTTAGGTTGGCAAAGATTCTATCCAATCCGATACAGGAAGAAAGGATAAAAGGATTCGAGCCGTTTCTTGAAGACATGGACCAATCAGATTCCAGGGGAACACACTGTCCGCAGGCAGTGACGAAAGGCCCCCTAC